CAACAAACAGGGCCACAGTGCTGACTTTGAAGGTGCATACTGTACTTGCTGAGGCCCAGCAGGTCTTCTGGCTGGCAGCTTTTCTGCACAGTTAGCTTCAACTTTTTAAAGGTTTCCCTTATCTAGGCCTATGTGTTTTTTGAATAATATATACATAAATGCCAATTTGTTTTTACTCATAGGGGGAGGAGCTGCTCTCATAAAACTTAGGAGGGAAGAACTACTTGGTCAGGTCAAAGTTCAACTAAAAAGTAAAACTCTTTTTTGACTTTGTTTTTTGTTTGTATTTGTTAGCATACAATATCAGCCAGAACATTTTAAATGTGGCCTCAGAGGCCTGACTGACGCCCTGAGAAGACATTCTCAGCGTTGACAGCCTGTTTCTAATAATGTAATTAAGTTTTTGGACTTTCTTTTGAGGACCTCCTCAAATGTCCTTCATTCAGAGTCAATGTTCTGCAGCCATAGATTGTACATTCAATGCCTTTGAAAGCATGTATGTGTTATATATGTTGAATAAATGTTGTATGGAAAGATTTATGTGGATTGTCTTCACTTGCATTACACAGTGGGAGTGTTGGATGTTACACACTGGAACGTGTACGGAGAAGAAAGATTCACACAGTATAAAGCACACTGGTAAATCCTTCTTTTGGCCAGATGGCCCATATTAGGACATTTCTGATGTGAGTTTGTTGTCAGAGCTGCTGAGAAGCTGACAGCAGTGTTAGAACCAGGTTAGAACAGAAGGGCATGCAGGTTTAACTCTGGGCAGAGGGTGAATGATGAAGATGATAACTAGGTTGCAAATAAGACATAAATATCACAAACCAAATGAAATGAACAACAATAAAAACATCTGTATCAGTAATCTGGATTCAAAACGTTTAATAAAGACACAGTACAGGCCTTACATCCTGCCATTCATTACAGTGGAAACCACATTAAATATGAATTTAATATTCAAAATATAGCGCTGACAGTAACAACTCTGCACACACAATCATTTCTTGGGTTCACCTATATTAACCTACCAACTGTAGTGCACCAAACAATGCACTTAAATAAACGTGTACCTCTTGCTGTTTGAATAAATGCACAATATTATAGTGCATAATCAACTACTGTTGCTCACGAGCAGAAAATTTACTATTTGGCTAATCGTGTGAGGTAGGTCTGTTTTGATAAAGTATCTTGAGTTTAGGTAAACGCAATGTCACAGTTAACTGTCAGTGTGTGCTTTTGACTGCATGGTGGGACCTCCATGGATCGGATTGGTTTGTCCAGCACTTCACCTGTCAGTGGTCATAATGTTATGGCTGATTGGTGAATACTCTTGAACTTTTTTTTAGCAACATGTGTTGACATAAGTTGCCAGCAGAGGGCAGCATTGTCCAATTTTGGAAACTTTGGAAACTACACACATACCCACCTCTGACTCCATGGAATAGCTTTTTCTGCAGGCATATCCCTCCCTCATTATTGAGATGCCCTTGAGCAAGACCCTTAGCCCGACTGCTCTAGTCGAGTTGCTCAGTGGCCAGCAGAGGAGGCTTCCTCAATTTTCGGATAACCCTTTACATTACAGTTCTGTAATAACATGGTACTAGTGGGGTAATGGTTTGATAGTAAATAGGTAAAAATAAGGTAATACCATGGAGTTACCAAAGTAATAACCAGGTAATAGCTTGTATTAACAATGTGTATATCTGGGTAATAGTAGACTGAAATGTATGCACAAGGGTAATAAGGGGCCAAAACTATAGGGTCATAAACACATTTAAAATAGCAACAAGGCAAAATAATTTAGTACTTTGTTAACACTATGGTATACCATAGAATGGTTATATCTGTGCAATATTTGTATACAAAAATGGTGACATTAATGGGGTAATAACATGATAATTATGAGGTAAAGGGTTGATGTATTTAATATTATAGACTACTAATACCTTCACAATCATATGAACATTCTTGAAGGTCAAATTGGAGATTACCCTCCCATTTGTTTCAAACGTTTTTTTGTTTGTCAAGGTAATACTGTGGAAATGATGTGTTTAAAGCAATTGTTTACTGGAAAGGTGGTACATTCTGTGTAATAACCCCGAATTCAATTCAATTCAATTCAATTTTATTTATATAGCGCCAAATCACAACAACAGTTATCTCACAGCGCTTTTCATAAAAGAGCAGGTCTAGACCGTACTCTGTGATGATATTTACAGAAGCCCAACAGTTCCCACCAAGAGCAGCACTAGGCGACAGAGGCAAGGAAAAACTTCCTTTTAAGAGGCAGAAACCTCGAGCAGAACCATGGCTCAGGGTGGGCGGCCATCTGCCTCGACCGGTTGGGGTGAAGGGGAGAGAGAGAGAGAGAGAGAGAGAGAGAGGGGAGGGAGGCAGCCTACACAATATACACACAGAGGTACAGACAGTAAAGGTGATGTTGCTATAGATTAATTAAAAAATGGTACAGATATTTATAGTAGTGTTAATGATAATAATCGTAATGTTAATTATAATAACAATAATAATAATAGGACTAGTAACAATAGTTGCAGCAGAGGGTGTCGAGCAGGAACACGGGGGCAGCAGGTGACCCGCAACCACAGATCCAGACTCCACAGCTCCAGAGCCAGAAAACCTGCAGGAAGTGATAGGAGGAGAGGAGAGGGACGAGAAAGCACAAGACTACCAGAAAGGGGAGAAGTTGTGTTAGTAACATGCAATAATGGGATGAGGTTGCATACAGAGGGAGAGAAAGTAGAGGAGAGAGGAGCTCAGTGCATCATGGGAAATCCCCCGGCAGTCTAGGCCTATAGCGGCATAACTAAGGGATGGTTCAGGACTACCTGAGCCAGCCCTAACTATAAGCTTTATCAAAGAGGAAAGTCTTAAGCCTACTCTTAAATGTGGAGATGGTGTCTGCCTCCTGAACCCAAACTGGAACCTGGTTCCACAGGAGAGGAGCTTGATAGCTGAACGCTCTGGCTCCTAGTCTACTTTTGGAGACTCTAGCAACCACAAGTAACCCTGCATCTGGGAGCGCAGTGCTCTGGTGGGGTAGTAAGGTACTATGAGCTCTTTAAGATAAGATGGTGCCTGACCATTAAGAGCTTTGTAGGTAAGAAGAATGATTTTAAATTCTATTCTGGATTTTACTGGAAGCCAATGCAGAGAAGCTAAGACAGGAGAAATGTGATCTCTTTTTGGTCCGAGGACAGATCCTTGTGGAACTCCATGACTAACTTTGGCATGCATGGAGGACTCATCGTTAACATGTACAAACTGAAATCGATCTGATAAATAGGACTTAAACCAGCTTAGAGCGGTTCCTTTAATGCCAATGAAATGTTCCAGTCTCTGCAATAGGATCTGATGGTCAACGCTATCAAATGCAGCACTAAGATCTAATAAAACCAGTACAGAGACAAGTCCTTTGTCTGATGCAATAAGGAGGTCGTTAGTAATTTTCACCAGTGCTGTCTCTGTGCTATGATGAGCTCTAAATCCTGACTGAAAATCCTCAAATAAACTATTGCTCTGTAGAAAGTCACACAGCTGTTTAGCAACTGCTTTCTCCAGAACCTTAGAGAGAAATGGAAGGTTAGATATAGGTCTATAGTTGGCTAAAACATCCGGATCAAGTTTGGGCTTTTTCAGAAGAGGTTTAATTACAGCTACTTTAAAGTACTGTGGTACATAGCCTGTTGATAAAGATAGATTGATCATATCTAGTATAGAAGTGCTGACTAAGGGTAAAACTTCTTTAAGCAGCCTAGTCGGGATGGGGTCTAAGAGGCAGGTTGATGGTTTAGATGAAGAAATTATTGAAGTTAGTTGGTAAAGATTGAGGGAAGCAAAACAGTCTAAACATATTTCTGGTTCTACAGCTGTTTCTAAGGTTCCTGAGTTAAGAGATTAGTCGGTGCCAATTGAGGGCAGGTCTTGGTGAATTTTGTCTCTATTCGAATCAGGACTGGTACTTTGTGTAACCTAATAAATGAAGTAAAATAAACTAGAATACAGACTGAAGTGATCATAAATACACATTGCTCTAACTAACATTTAGACTTATCACCTTCAGACTACTGTTTTCTATCAGCAATAATCTAGTTTCCTGAAACATTGTCATGCAGTCATGTTGAACTTGAACCTGCCCATACCTCTGAGAGTCTAGCACTGCTGTCAATCAAACTGTCACGGGTCAGCTACGTTTTATGTCTTTGATTATGTTTTATGAACATCCTCATGTGTAAGATAAGAACATTTCAGACGGCGCCCTCAATGGTAATACTAAAAAATAGAGAATCAGAATAAATCCTTGCATAAAGTTACATAAAAACACACAGAACTTTACATGGGTGCTTTAAAGGGCAACACAAGAATAGACATTTTTACTTTGGTCTAATTTGTCCGGGTAATCTGGGTTTTGCAGAAACATTAGTATCAATGTTCTGCCTACCCAAACCTGACAAATTTTATTAAACAGATGGTTATAAACCCTGATCAAAAACTGGTTAACTAAAACAGAACTTTATTCCCCACAGGCTAAAGACATTTTCTTCTTCTTCTTCTTCTTCTTCTTCTGATTTTTTTTTCATCCGAAGGACCTAAGGACAGTCAGCCTAGTCCAAAATAGACCTGAGGATAATTAGACCCTATCCAAAACATGTTGGGATTTTTGAACGCCCAATTCTGCCAAGCACAGGAAACAAACAAAACACAGTTCCAGCTGGGTTGTCTCAACAAACAAAGAGCATGCCGGTTCAAAAACACATATAGTTATAAGCCATCTGTGTTCTTTGGTACTTCCTTGTGCTAGCACCTGTCGGAGTGGTAAATGCTTGATGACATTTGATGCATGCACCAACACATTCTTTTCAGTTCCGTTTAAAACAGGTTTCTTACAGGAACTGTGTCTGGCACCTCCCAAATTCCACGTGAGAGATAAAAAGTGTTCTCACATCCCTGAAGAGCTTTATTACCTGCACCATTCATGATGCAGAAGCATCGTCTGCTGTGCAGCCTCCTCTTGGCCCTGGTAATGCTGAGCGGCATCCCGGCTCATGTGGGAGCTCGTGACCCTACTGAGTGCATTTGTGGGGCCCAAGCTCCCGGGGACGTTGTGATAGGTATAATGTTGCCATGTCATCAAAAAGTGCAGGCTCTTCGTGAACGGATTAGACCTGACAGCTTCCACTGCTCAGAGTGAGTATGAGAACAGATATATTTACTACATGTATGTTTCAGGAAGTGCATCTTTCATTTTAAGTAAGTGAGTTGTAGTGTTATTTTATTCTTGTGTGCCTCCACATTTGGTAGAGCTGGTTTGGTATGGAAGGGGGTATTATTATGAAGTATGATAGCACTATCAAGATATGTCTGAATGTCAGACCAGATTCTGGCAGTGTTTAATAAACGGATGGTGCGTACCATTCTTCAAGGTATGATAAGACCAAATGAAAGGGATTTTGGCCATATATGACACTGCTACATGTGTTTCCAAGTAGGAATTGTAAAGAGTTTGGACTGATTCAAATGGTTTTCCTCCACCAGATTCTAAATTTTAATGAAATTTTTATGTATCTATATTTATCTGTATCTTTTCGGCTACACATTACAGGGGCATAGCTACACAGTAAAGGTACAGTACGTAGATTATTCTTAGTATATTTGAGCCAACGTTCATTCTACTTAGAAGCATGAAGAGAAAGTGCCACTCTACACAGTCAAAATTTGTTTCTCTGAGTCAAGTGAAATAGCTATGAGTTTGGTGCAGTGCACTAGGAGTGGGGGAAAATACATATATGTATATGTCTAACTAACTGGCATATATTTTTCACAAGTTTCATCATTTGTTTTGCGAGGGGGTAGCTTCAATAAAATCTGGCTTTTATCTACATCTTTTCAGTCAATGCTATGATCTCTTCTTGACTTTATTTATTTTTGCCTGTGAGAGCACTTGGGTACATTATCAGTTTGTTTGTTTTTTTTAATTTAAAGAGGTCATATTATGCGTTGTAGCTTTTTCCCTCTCCTTTATTGAGTTACATCTCTTTTTTGTGCATGTAATAGGTTTGCAAAGTGAAAAAGTCCAAAGTCCAGCCCAAAGGGAGTTCCCATCTCCCACAGAAAACTCTCTCGCTCTGAACTTCCTGAAAACAGCTCGTTTGCAGTCCAGCCGCTTCACTTTTGATCACTGTGATGTCACAACAAAATGTGCGTCATAATGCTCGCCAAGCGGCTAGTCCAACACACCCTCAAAAACATTGATGGAAATAAACTCTGAGCTGCAGCACACAACTCTCCTCTCCTTTCCAAACACTAGCTGCCCTCCAGGCAGTCGATGGACAGAAAGTTGTTCCTGTGATGTAGAGACAGAGCTCAGTTAAAACTTTATGGATGAAAGATGCTTTTGTTACAGATTAATAACTCACCACTCTGAAACTCTTGCTCCAGTCCATGTTGCAAAGCTGCTAAGGGGAACATGTACAGATGAACTGAAGCCGTGTTTACCGGCTTCTCACGACCCGCCTTCTGATTGGCTAGTAGTCCTTAACAAGGAACTGCGCATGTGCAACTCCCAACAAAGTTCATGTCGAGGCAAGATGTATCACTTGCAGTGGGAAACAGCTAAAACGAAGCCTTCACACAGGGTGGAAAGAGGAGCTGCAACAATGTGCAGTATGACATAACCATGGTGTTTTTTGAAAATTAAACCATGTAAACCTGTTCTGGTACAACCCCTAAATAGGATTTTGAACTTGAAAATGAACATAGATCAGATGAGTCATTCCACAATAAACAAAACTGAACATCTTACATTACGAATACAGATTACTTCGCTTCATAAAACCCACAGTCCATGTTACACCAGCAGCATGTCTGATATATGACAATAGTCACAGGATATTGCACCTGTGACTTCATGGGCTTTTAAAATATAATGTAACTTCTATGAACTGAAACACCTCTAACCAAAATGTCTTTAAAGATTTACATGTATAAAAATGTGTGAATAGCTTGCTGTTTTTTTGTTTGTTTGCCATTTTCAGTTTTGATCTGGCATCCTTTTTGAAATCCTTGTCTGCAATCCACGAAATTGAGGAGATAAATAGAGCTGGCTTCCTCCCGGGAGTGCGTCTTGGATATTTGATGTGTGACACATGCTCATATGCAAGCAAAGCTTTGCAGAATGTGGGGCATATGCTCGCAGTCAACAGTTCTCTCGAAATGCAGTGCGACTATACTGACTTCAGGCCCAGAGTCAAGATTATTTTAGGAGCATTGTACTCGGAGGTGTCCATCGCTGTGGCCAGACTGCTGAATGTGTACATGGTTCCTCTAGTGAGTCACAAATACTTTCTGATCAGCAAATAGAGTCTAGACATAGAGGGTGTTTCATGCCCTGGTTGATAGACTTAATTGTGGGAATTTACAAACCCCATTTCCAGTAACGTTGGGATATTTTTCCAAAATGCAATAAAAACCCAAATCTCTCATTTGTTAATTCACATGTACCTTTATTTAAATGACTTAAGTACAAAGAAAATATTTTCAATAGTTTTACCACAAATGTAATTTTATTTTCTATGTTTAAACAAAGTTAGAATTTTATGCCTGCAACACACAACAAAATTTGGAAAAATACCATTGTGTCACATCACCTTTCCTTTTTAACACTTTCTAATCTCTTGGAAAGTGAAGACACTGATTGTGCCAGTTTTGCAGTTGGAATTATTGTCCATTCTTGCTTGATACAAAATTTCCACTGCTCAAAACTCTGTGGTCCCCGTTGTCTGATTCTCTTCTACATGTTGCGCAATAATTTTCAATAGGAGACAGATCTGGACGAGCAGCAGGCCAGTCAAGCACAAATATTCTGCGTCTACGAAGCCACATTGTTGTAGCCTGTGCAGAATGAGACATGCCGTTGTCCTGGTGTAATAAGCATGGGTGTCCCAGGAAGAGACATCACCTTGATGGCAACATATGTCTCTCTAAAATTCCTATATATGCCTCGAGATAATGGTACCTTCACACACATGTAACTCACTGAGGCTGTGGGCACTGATGCACCCCCATACCATCCCAGATGTTGGCTTTTGCACCTTTTGTTGATGACAATCTGGACGGGCTTTTCCATCTTTGGCACGTTTCCCCCCGAAAACAAGTTGAAATGTGGGCCCAGAGAACTCGGCGGCGTTTCTGCATACAATTGAACTGACTTCCGCCTTGCGTAGTACAGTTTCAGGCTGCTTTTCTGGATGCGGCAGCAGACCATGTTAAATAAACGGTTTTCCAAAGTACATCCAAGACCATGTTGCTATATTTGTCACAGAAGCATGACGGTTTCTTAGGCAGTGGGGGCTTGGTCACGCATATTCAAAAGTGGTTTCTGACCTTACCCTTTACACAATAAGATGTCTTATTTTGAAAGACCTAAATTCTTTGCATTCTTGTATTCAGAAATGTTCCCTTATATATAACTTTTTTATATTTTGACACTGGTCAGTATAACTATGATGAAAATCTTTCTCTTTGTACTTTTGAAAGTTAAATAAAGGTTCACGTGAATTAACAAATCACAGATTTTTGTTTTATCGCATTTTGGAAAAATAACTAACATAATAAATGAGGTTTGTAATAATGTATTAGTTGTGGAGGCTTTAATGTTTAACCTGCATTTGTTCAAGACACACTACAAGATATTGGAAAATATGTTTGGCTTCTTACAGGGAGTTGCAGGATCAATTTCATTTTCAAGTCTATACATTCAGTACAGGCCCAAGACATGTATCAGACATCATCCCAGATTAGCATAAACAGAATGGATGGAAGAGGAAAACAGTTAGCCTAGCTCCATCTAACTCCAAATCTGTCATATTTACACATGTAAATCTTCTTACTGTACAACAGCAAGCAAGCCCAACACATCAGCATCACCTTAGAAGTCCTGTACAGGTAATGTGTGATGTAGAATATGTATGCATATGTTGCATTTGAGGCTAGCTGTTTGCCCCTACTTCCAGTCAATCTGCTTGGATGTTAAACTGAACCCTGAGATTGGATTTTAGTGACTTTCTCATCTAACTCCCGGTAAGACCTCAAACAAGTAAATATTTTAATATTACTAATCCTACTAAGGTTTGAATGTATATCCCTTAATTTTGTTGTGAAATGGGTGAAATTTGCGGATTTGAAGGGACGTTTGGGTGCTATAGCAAATACTAGGACTGTATTTTCATAGTCTGTTATTCACAAATTATTATTAAAGCTGATTCATTTTTGGTGTGTTTCAAATTCTTCTGGTACATTTTTATCTCATTGTCAGCTGAGCAGCACCTCATCTTCACCAGAACTGAGTGATAAGCTTCGTTACCCAGTTTTTCTACGCACTGTTCCCAGCGATAAGCACCAGACCAAAGCAGTCGCCACACTGATGAATCACTATGGCTGGGACTGGGTCGGGGTGGTGTATGGGGATGACGAATATGGAAGAGCAGCTTTCCAGAGCTTCCTCATAGATGCTGAGACAAATAGTGTGTGCTTGGCCTATCAGGAGGTGTTGCCTAATTACCTTGATAATTCATACAGCGTGCAACGTATCCAGCAGGTCGCTGAGCAGATCCGCTCCTCCAGTGCCCAGGTGGTACTGCTTATCCTCAAGACACAGCTGGTCGAAGATCTCTTTAAGGAGATGATCAGGACCAACACATCAAGGACCTGGATTGCCAGTGATGGCTGGTCCAGGAGCTTGTCCCTTGCCAAAATGGATGGCATAAACAAGGTTGGGGACATCTTGGGCTTTAGCTTTGTTGCAGGCAAGGATATATCATTTGATACTTATCTCAAGAATCTTACTGCAACCCCAGGAGGATACAACAACTTCATTGAAGAATACAAGAACCTGAGATTCAACTGCACCCCAGAATGTTACTCCAGCAAGCCCCCTTCCTATTGTCCCTCAACTGAACTCCTGAAAATCAAATCTCCCAACGCATGCAAGTTCCAGGATCCCCAAGAACAAAATGATGACTACCTTGTGAGCGCTCTGGATACCAGTGAAGTCTTCTTAAGCAGAGTAGCCGTGTGGGCCGTAGCAAATGCTCTCAAAAAGCTACTAAACTGCAGCAGTTCCACATGCTTGGGAGAAATTAACTTCCCACCATATAAGGTAAGAATTTAAATGATCTTGACATTGAGAGAGCACAAATTCAAATTTGAAAGTTTACAGTACCCTCTTTATGTTAAGTAGGAATTAGAATGTACTGTGTGTTTCCTTCCCTTACTGTGTGTCCACACAGAAAGCGAAGCAAAATTTTTCTCATGCCAGGATTAGAGTCAATAAAAAACGTGGAGAGACTTGAATTTGCAACGGGTGACATGACAACGCAAATAAAGCAAACTCAACGAAAGAATTCACACGTATCGCAGAGCTTTGCAGAGTGTAGTGTGGGGAGAGCTAGTTGGGGTGGAGGGACTGAGCTGCTGTTAGCTGACAGAAAGCTGTTGAGCTTCTGGACGAATAAACACCAGAATTTAAATCATTGTTTTTTCAACTTTAGGATTAATAACTGGATTAACTGGAGCAGCGAGCCACTGAGTTTCCGACCTCCACTGTCGTTATTGTTGCCGTCTATGTGCATGGGCTCTATTTTTTTGGGATAAATTTCAGTTCTAATTTCCTTAACATTTCCGTTTCCCCTGCAGTCAGCAGTCAACATAGGCAAAATCACTCATAGTATATATGGACAATGTTTTGTGCTCCAACCATTATAGCTCGCTTGTTCACTATATGTTAGTAAAAGGTGTAATGTGAGTCAACACAAATAATTCAGCAGTCAAACTTGCGCTACTAACACAAGGCCTTCTATATAAACACACCATTAAAATTCTTTTAGTAGTTTTGAAAATTGTGACAAACTCCAAAGGGAGCAGTTTAACTGACATTCTGTTCTTTGCTTGGCAGCTTCTTGAGGAACTGAGGAAGGTGAAGTTCGACCTTGACAACCAGACTTTTTACTTTGACGAAAATGGTGATTTTGTAAATGGTTATGATCTAATCATATGGAAAAAGGATGAACTCTGCAGACGATTTGAAAGGATTGGGAAATACGATGTCCTGACGAAACAAATAGAACTCTATCAGGAAAATTTCACCTGGCTTTCAACAGCCAATACCACGGTAAGACAACACCATACGCACAGCATCCACTCACTTTAACAGTGTAGTCACTGTCCATGTGTCCTGGGGCACTATAGCACCAGAGTCAAGACAAAAGGTCAAGTGGTCACCGAAGACATTAAGGGCCTGAAACAGACAGTATTATAATTGGGCATATTTGTGTGGAGATGGTCCATGTATGCCTGCAAGAAGAGACTGTCCAGAAGCTTACAATGTTATCCCCATTTGTATGATTAATTATGCTAGGACTGCAAAGACTTGCACATTATTAACAATAACAATAAACATAATCATAATAATAAACATCTTCATTTATGGAGCACTTACATTCCAAAGTGCTTTACAGAGACACAAGATGAAATGAAATACCACAGTGAATAATAAAATACATGAAGGGCAAAATAAGAAATAATAACAAGCAAATAAAAAAACTGGCTCAGATAAACTCAGGATATGCTTTACGATGATTTACGATTTTAGAAAAGACACTGACTCAGACGGTCAAATTTCCTCTCGCGGGTCATTCCAGAGGACTCTGGACCCTGATAGCAAAAGCTCTGTCCCAGTTCATTTTTTAGCCTTGACTCAGGAAGAGACAGGAGACCCTTGGCTAAAGATCTTAAATGACTGGGATGTAAAGAGACTAAAAAGGTGTGATGTGATTGTACCTCTTGGTTCTGGTCTGTAGTCATTTCAACGTTTTTTTGATAAGAGAAGATGCTGTTGCAATAATCCAGGCAAGAGGAAATCAAAGCATGGACCACACATGCATCTGCATCTCTAGAATTTAAAATATATCTTCTTCTAGCAATATTTCTGAAATGATAAAAACACGACTGGACCAGCTTAGTGATACGTTCAAAACACGTCAGTCAAACAGGACACCAAGCAAAAGGCTTGATTCTGCATCAGCATTCATTAAGAGCTCATTAGTGACTCTGAGAAGGGCTGTCTCAGTGATACTGATGAAAACCAGATGATGGGCGACTTTTCATTTTCATTTACTGATTTGGCAGACACTTTTATCCAAAGCCACTTACATTTGAGGAGCAACATACAAGCATCAATACAGTAAGAGATCTACGACTGACAATACATAGCAGTAAGCATAGCCTACGCATAGGAGCCGTTATACATGTGATTGATTGACTAGTCACTCACACTATGAGCCAACTCCGAAATTGCCAGAGAATTTCAGAGTTGGCTCATAGCCAAGGCGCTTTACTATGAGTGACTAGTCAATCAATCATACACTCTGCATCAGACATAGGCTAAATAAACAGTTGAAACGAGGACAAAAATCATGTGGGCCTGTAGAAAACGTGACAGAAGACAAAGTTGTTGCTGAAAAGTTAAGGGGAGGAAAAAAGGTCACTGGAGGCAGGTGCAGCAAAGTACCTCAATATTAGGCTTCTTTTCTTACTTATAGCCTACTTGAAGACAGTACTGAGGACGCCAGCAGCAGGGGTGGGAAACATGGGTGGATAGAACAGTCCTGTTGGCCTCTAAGCACAACACACAGCTTCTTCTGAATGTAGGTTTACCTGCTTCGACAACGAGCTGCTCCCGTGTTGCTGTCACAATGATTGTCTGCCAAGTATTGGTTTGTGTTCTGTCTGGTTGTTATTTACTTGACCATGTTTAGTCTGCTTGTTCGCTGGAGGCAGGTGCAAGCAAAGTGCCTCAATATTAGGCTACAGACTTTTCTTTTGTGCTGCTGTTACTCAAAGCCTACTTGAAGACAGTTTTGGGGACGCCAGCAGCAGGAGTGGGTTTAAAACTGTAGCCTACATTTACTCTTTACTCAGTAATTTCTTTGGGCCAGTAATGTACTTTTTATTTCACTACAGTTTTCATTCATACCTTCATAACTTCACCAGTCTGTAATCTGCATTTTGCTTCATTAACTGAAATTAGCTGTCATCCAGGCTGTGCGCAGTTACGCGATCAGCTCTGGTCTCTGGCACTTCTCACAGCACAGAGCTGGGCAGATGCAAACATTTAGAAAATCAGGCAAATACCTTTTCAGTTTAAGGCTTTATTGTTCTACTAATACAACTGAAATCCAGCACACCATGGTACTGGTGGCCTGCTGGAAAGCACCTTGCGTCACTCTTTAACACCGACAAGTGACTACTTTCACTTTCCATTAATGGCGTGTTAAAAGCGTTGGGCTTTACGCTTGACGCACAGCTTCCTCTGAATGTAGGTTTACCTGCTTCAACAACGAGTTTCTCCCGTGTTGCTGTCACATGATTCTTTGCATTGTTAAGATTATATAGATGCTTTGGGAATAATCAGATTGTATGGGCTGCCTGTGTTATTTCAAAGTAAGTGGTTTGGTGGGCTACATGTCCATAATAACAGAGACAAGCAAACATAGTGGCTTGGCAGCAAACTGATATTTTAAAGTGATTTTATCAACACATTCATGGAGATTTAAAAAGGAAAATAATTGTTTTAAACAGAAAAGGCTAAATTACAGATGATCAACAAGCAAAGCAAACTGCAGTCCCTATAAATAACCTGTTGCACAGTAATATATATTTAAATATATAGTAGATAGAGTAATTGTACTTCTTCTTGAGTAAATTATGAGTACTCTACCTGCCACTGGGCAGCGGCACCAGTACTGGCTCTGATATGGTGAACATGTGACAGAAAGCAACAGGGCGACTCACCTTAGTGGATTTCTTTACTTTAGGAGAGTTAAAGAGAGTTTTCTAGTGTTATTATTTTAAAGGCTCATTTAGTTATGTACTCTACTTGCATACAATTCTCAAGAATACAGGAATAAAGGTCTCTAAAGACCCAGAGCACCAGGGACAAACTCCTGGGCCCTTTGTTTGCCCCTGTCTGTGACCATCCTTGGCCTTAAAAACCTGTTTTTTTACATTTAAAAAAAAAATGTCACGAGCATTCAACAGTATTTTAAGAGGAAGAGGACAGAGGTCACAGGAAGAGGAGTAGAAATAACTTAGGTGGACGAGCTTGTAAGTTGTATGGATAGCTAGTAGACATAGTAAATTCTAAAACTCTATGGCTAGCTACATTAACTAGCAGGTTATATGCAATAGCATGGTTTTTATGGTACTCTCCATCTCCATCTTCTGTCAGTGTAAATACCCTCTTTGAGCAATACTAACAAGTACAATATGTTTTCAAAAGTCATTAGAAATAAGCATTTAAGTTCTTTATTAAAAAAACAAAAATGGTAGTAAGAGCTATAAGCGTCTACCGCATCAATGGGGTAAAAGAAGTAAGAGTTAATGAATAGTGCAATCAGCACAAGAATTTTAAGGAAATAGAAGAAGAAGAGCACAGGAAGTGAATGTAATAGGTTATGAGGGAAAGTGTTCTTGGAAGAGATGAGTTCTCAAGAGCTTCTTAAAGTTAGAGAGGGATATCCCTGCTCTGATGGCGTGTGGTAGGACGAAGCTGGATGGTGTACTGAGAAAGGTAGGGTCTGATATTTCGTAGGTAGAGCTGATTTGTATGTTACTTTGAAACCTTTGTTTTCCACAGCAGCAAGAAGCAGCTTTATAAACATTTTTTGCAGGCCTGGGCTTCCATCAACCCCAGCTATCTTTAGGACTGGTTGGACACAAGCAGTTTAAATGTGGTCCGGGACACAACCAGTAGACAGAGAACTGTTCAAAAATGATAGCAAATGGGGTCCAGTACAATCCATGATTTCAAATATACCAGATCATAACTGCACCTTTCCAGTGCGTGATAAAAGACACAGGGCAGCTGTAGTTGAATGCTAACATGGTCTTTATTTTGTAGCATGTGATATGGCCATAAACTCCAGTATGTTTCCGCTTTTTCGAAAGACAAAGTTTAGTAGAACAAAGGCTTAAAGGTGGGGTATGTGAATTCCAGTGTCATGATATAGTATGAACAGCATCACAGCAAGTAATGTAACTTGACAGCTGTAACATGTAGCTACTTTGTGGGTTAGCTAACTGTTGTTACAGTTGATGCTGTGAAGCTAATATGCAGAGAGGATGAGACAGTCCCAGAGCAGCACAGCAGCTCCAGACAGCGACACTCACAACTCTCCTGCTGCTAGAGCTAACATCACAACAACATGTTTTGGTGAACCAGAAAGTAGGCTGAATGTCTGTGGGCAAGTCATTTAACGTTATTGACACACAAATCATGGCTGTCATAGGGTCGTGTGTCTCAGTCTGAGTCACTTTGTTTGTTTCCCATTTACAGAGCAATGTACCGACCCGACACACACACACACACACACACACACACAACAGACAGCGTGGAGATATTCACTGAATTTGACAAAAAGAAGTGTACTGGATTACTATCACATACCCGACCTTTAAATATCTACAGTCTATCTCTCTACAGACTGTTCAGTTCTAAGTTGTCATCTTGTTTATCTAAGTCCCCTCAGTCTAGATGCTCAGAGCACTGCAACCCTGGCTGGGTAAAGAAGATCTTGAACGTGTCCTGCTGTTACAACTGCACCCAATGTGTGGAGGGGACCTATTCAGATGCCCAGGGTATGCCTGATTGTCATGCTCATTTTATATTAAATTTAGCTTCAAAATGTAAACAAACATGACACATGGCATTTTAGACTAAGCATACATCGGAATAATGCTGTCCACATGAGGTCTCTTCTCAATGCACAGTATCTCACAAAAGTTAGTCCACCCCTCACATTTTGTAAATATTTGATTATATCTTTTCATGTGACAACACTGAAGAAATGACACTTGTGAAAAATGTAAAGTAGTGAGTGTACAGCTTGTATAACAGTGTAAATTTGCTGTCCCCTCAAAATAACACATCACACAGCCATTAATGTCTAAATCTTCTTATCGCCTAGGCCATCTTTATGTAGGGCAACAATTCTTTTTTTCAGTTTTTCTTTGCCATGAATTGCCATATTGAACTTCCAGTGACCAGTATGAGGGAGTGTGAGAGCGATAACACCAAATTTAACACACCTGCTCCCCATTCACACCTGAAACCTTGTAACAATAATGAGTCACATGACACCAGGGAGGGAAAATGGCTAATTGGGCCCAATTTGGACATTTTCACTTACGGGTTCACTTTTGTTGCCAGCGGTTTAGACATTAATGGCTGTGTGATGTGTTATTTTGAGGGGACAAAAAATGTACACTGTATCACAACAACATGTTTTGGTGAACTGAAGTAGTGAGCTATACACTCGGTACTTTTTATTGTAGCAAACTGTCATTTCGTCATTGAAAATGACTGCTGCAGACCTAAATAAACCAGAATGACCTTATCCTACTTAACCAGTACATCACCATTTTCAGATCTTCATAACTGCAAAGAGTGTCCCAATGGAACCTGGTCTCTCAAGGGTTGGAATCATTGCGAGCCAAGATTGGAGTCCTACCTGCGATGGAATGATCCTCATCCCATCACCATGATGGCAGCTGCAGCCTTTGGCATTCTGCTCTTGTTGGTTACCTTCATTATCTTTTTGGTGTACAGAGATTCCCCACCTATGAAAAGAGCGGAGGTGAGATTGTCCTGTGTGATGATGGCTGGTCTGGCAGTGAGCTTCGCAAGTGTGATATGCTTCATGGGCAAGCCCATTGTGCACCTCTGCCGGGCCCGCCAGGTAATGTACGGGATGGGCTTCACCCTGTGTGTGTCCTGCAATCTGGTAAAAGCCTATCGTACCTTCCTGGCTTTCCTTCCCTTTGGTCAAATGACAAACAGGCGACTACACGCACTGTACAAGCCACCTGTAATTGTCATCATCATAACTGCTGTCCAGGGACTCATCTGTCTTCTGTGGCTGATTTTTGACTCTCCTTACATTGATGACGCACCTCAATCTCCACAAAGCATGAAGAGAATAATCCAGTGTCGTGAAGGTGCCACATACATAGGTTTTGGCATTATGTTGAGCTACATAGCTCTGCTAGCATTGGTTGGCTTCCTCTTGGCCTTCAAAGGCAGGACAGTTCCTCAGGAGTTCAGTGAAACTGGCTACATCATTTTTAGCATGCTGATGTACTTGTTTGTGTGGGTGTGTTTTGTTCCAGTCTATATCACCAACAATGAAAACAGTACTCCTGTGCAGGCTTCAGCCATTCTAGTATCCAGCTATGGCATCATATTTTGTCATTTCTTACCCAAGTGTTACGAAGCACTACGGGGGTCAAAGACCGATACACTGGAGATGATTCTGAGGAGATGGCGAGCCTTCTCTAGTCCAAATCGTGAGTCAGACCCTGAGATAGATATAGATATCCCCAGAACGAACACACCCTCACAAATGATTATCAGGTCTTCCATGTCAAGTACGTTTACTAAATTAAAGAGATCAGGAGCACTGAGTGAGGACAGTCCTACTGATTTGTCCAATGAAAAGATTTGTGCGTATCCTCGGGCTAACGGGCTAGGAACAAAAGTGACACGGAGACGTAGGAGTATGTCCTTCTAAAACTGGTTTCCAGGAGCATTTGACGTGTACTGTACTGATATTTTATTATACCCTTATCCCCGTTAAAAGCCATCTTTTGTATTTTTATATTGTATTATTGTATTTTAAGTTCAAATGTGTTTATGCTGAAAACAGAGTTTTATTCTCCAACAAACAGAGGACTAAAGATGACTAATTTGTATTACATGCAACTACAAGTGGTATTACCGTAAAACTTCAACTTTGAAGCGCTCGTTAAGTCCGAATGTGTCCGTTCCTTGATTATTTATATTCCTTTAGTCTGTAAGGGTCCAACCATCAGTTATGAATCCATCAGTCATGTGAAGTCCATCGCTCTCTTTCTGCTAACTTCTCTCATCCTGCACCTTGTTGTTGTCGTAATGTTACTTCAAAATTGGGGCTAGATCAAATGAATGACATTATTTGATCATTTTTACATAAGTATTATTCTGTTAAAATAATAAATAAACTGTTTCATAGTAGTTTCAGTTTTGTGCAAAAAGAATTAAAGGCCTGTCCCATATGGACGCCTGTCCCAAATAAAGGCAGGGTCAATTCAGTGATTTTAGCAAATAAAAGCCCGGGCTATTATTCAAAGTTTTACTGTAAAACAAAAATGCTTTTTATTGACTTGTTATTGTGCGCCATTTTGTGTGCATTATAACTGCAGCTTAACTCAGCCTTCTTTGTTTCAAGGTGATGTGAAGATGCACAGAAGAAGGTAAAAACTGTTCACTGTGTGAATGGTCCACATCACACAATTAAAGACTAAGCGGGTCTTGCACTAAAACAATGCAAGGGGCTGTAATAGTGTTGGACTATTGCTTCAGGTACTAAAAGCTTAAAGATGGACTTGTCTTCATCTCCATCTTTAAACTTCATTTACATTCAGTATTTCTCACCAAAATACATCTTTGAGCTGAACATGATGATACGTTTACATCCTCTTAAAAGAAAAGCTGATTTAACTTAAATGTTTGAATCCTGTGCAGTTCTTGTATCCACCAATAAAACATTGTTTATGCTACTGAGCCAGTTCTACTGAATTGGGGATAACAATATGAAACACATACTTTAAATATGAAATCCAGCACTTCACTGAAGACACAAAGACAATACACATAATATAACATTACACACACAGTAACATTTGTTACTGTAAATCTAGCTGAGCCCCAGTTAAACAGTGAGTCCCTTTTACTGGCTGGGTGCGGCTACAGGTTTTGATATATACAGTATAATATTCAGTCTGGTTTAAGGCCTGTCCCACGTAGACAGAGAGGCTATTAATAAATATATGGTAATCACTACTCGTTGGAATTCTATCTAGTTATTTTATCACTGGAGTCACCGGTTTACTTGGAACAATAAATAAATAACATGATGAAAATCTTATGTATGATCATCAAACTCCACACCCTTCAAACTAAATAAGCGCTGCGTGACTCCACCCTGCCTGGAGGACAGGTACATCATCTTTGACTTGTATTTGCTAGCTGATACATTTAATCTCATACCACATTATTATTTATAATTTTAGATGTAATTACATAGGGTATATATATATTGTGCCTCTTTCAGTTACTTTCTTTCACTTTTAGAGTGGCCTATCTGACATTTTACTTCTATGTTTAGCCTACATGACATGAGTGTCAAGCAGGAACAGAACGTGGAAATACACACTGAGGAGATCAGTGATCTGAGGCCGGTAGCTTTTTGCTAAGTCATCACTGGGTTGTGTCTGATTGGTTTTGATTTAAAGGGCCAAAATTTTTCTAATACACTGTTTCAGGAGATGCTGACTTTGACAACGGCTGTTCATGCCGATGCTGCAGCTCAAACTATATTTTATTTCTGAAACACATGACACTGGATAAGGAAGCCAGGGTTTGGATTAAAGAGCAGCGGCCCTTGAGACAATCCACCCAGCCAGGCACCACCATCGGTGATTGTCCCATATGAGAGGAAAGAGATCCGGGACAGGAGCCATGCTAAGCTAGCTTGGCCTTAAAACTGCTAATGGCTGGTCTGGTTGAAATGGGATCAAGCTGACCAAACGATGGGAAATCAGAGACTTTTGTAACTACATCTTTACAAAGACCTATTCCATCAACTTCCCGAATAAAGCACTCGCCAGGCAGACCATGTTCTTAGCCGACAGAGTGCGAGACTTCGGCAAAATGAGAGGAGACAGACTTTGTGCTTCCATTGATGATGCTTGGTGCTCTAACGCAGACAAAGTAGACACTGTTTCCCAAATTTCTGACTTTCTATGTAAAGATGAAAACCTTATTTATCATCACTATCTTGTTGCTACTGTTTACATTCCACCAAACGCCAATTCAAAAAATGCACTGTAGAAGTGTTTCCTGGGTTTATACATACATATATTTGTATATTTGAATATACATGTATATTTGAATAGAAATAACTGCACAGGCCTATATTGTTTCTTGTATTTATTTTATATGTTATCCTATTATAATATACATTTATTTATCTGTTATGTTCTGTGTGTAACATGAAGGGACTACAAAAGTTTATTCCATTGTACAATGAGAAGGATCTTCTGGAAGTGAATCCTGCTTCTCTGGAAATTTATAATACAAGATAAGGACTTTGTCGCTGGTCTTTGTATACAGCGTGTTATCTTTCACTGCTTACTGTACATGTTTTGATGGTTATGCTGTGTTATTATATTTCAATCACGAGAGACTTCATGTGAGTAACAAATAGTTTACTGACATGTGCACAATGAATATTAAAATGTGAAAAGTCCCTATTGTGACATCATGGTATTTAAAATGAATGGAGTCTAGACTGACACATTGCTTGTGTCCAGACAGGAACCTTTGCTGGAGCATTAACATTTGTTTGTGCATTACCACCTCTCAGTGGAATAGTGTGAAACCATTAGCAGGACTGTGTGCACCTTTGTGCTCATGTATGAGACAAACAAATGGTGATCCACAAAGTTCAACATTCCCATGTCCATGCTAGGGGTCAGAAACACCAAAATTGCACAATGGTTTGTAATACTCACAGACAGGATTTTTAACCTCTCAATTACTAGTTCATGTTACACACTAATCCACCAGGAATGTGTGTTTGCATTGTGTTTGATTGGCCAAAGCAGCATTTTCTTCAGATGACGCAGTGTTGAAGCAAAAGTTCGGTCAGATTAAACTTTTTTTGTCTCAAGACCCTACATTGGCACACTGGCCACATTCAGAAGAATGACAGACATAAGTCATTTTTACCCAAACCCCAATATTATAAGACAAAGCAATGTCAAATACACGCAGGGCTGATTTCAGGCATGGGCAAGCTAAGCAGTCACCTAGGGCAGATACCAAAAAATACTTTTTATTTTGTGACCCATTGCATTGTTAAATAAACTCACCAATCACAATGCACTAAATACCAAGCCAGGAGTTAAACCTGGCAAGAAAACCACCTCAGTGTTGTAGGACTGGACACTACAGTAACTGTAGCTACAGTACCCTGCGAATATATGGTATTAGCGAAACAGAGGGTCAAAGTGACAGGGCCGAGTGAGAGAGAGAGCAGGGGGAGAGTGGAGGTGAAGCGGTAAGCATGAACTCAACCTGTAGGGAGGGAGCAGGTAGGGAGGGTCATTTACACTGCGAACATGTAGCCACCACTTTTTGAAAGCATTTGTTTAAAATGTTCTGGAAAACAGCTTGCACCAAGAAATGTTGATTAACAAATAAAATGCTTTGAGAAAGGTTTATTTGCACAATAATAAAACCTGCAATGCAATGTAAATATAGAAGAAACCTCTGCGTTGTCCAAAAAAAGTAACTTAAGTAAAAAATAAGCTACTGATTACTGCATTATATATTATATGTTATTGTTACATTCTCCCTGTTACATTCTCCCCCCGCTGACCATGATGTACAATTCTAGATAATGGTGACTTTTTTCCCTCAGGTGTTTTAGGTCTGGGTGACGAGAAACTCATAAGAGGGGGCTGGACGCCACCTTTCTTTTTGACTGCTAAGCTCAAGCCAGTTTGCTAGTTCACTGAGAATCTACAGCGACACTGCCCCACCAGATGGACGTGCACAACATAAATGCATGTACTGTAAATATAGCTGAGCCCCAGTTAAACAGCAAGTCCCTTTTACTGGCTGGGTGCGGCTACAGGTTTTGACAAATAAATGCAGGGCTCACTTAGACATGGGCTCTGGTTCTGAGCTGCTTAGATCGTGCATGCAAATGTAAATGTCTAAACTTCTGTCAATATGGACATGCGACACATCATAAAAAGGTTCTCCACAATTCAATCTTTCAGTTCATTTTACAGAAACCATGAGCACAAAAGTATAATTCATTCAGATTTACTGACTTTAAAGTAGTCATTAAGTCAGAATATCTCTTTAGTCAGTAAGGTCCACGGATCAAAAGAGTCAAAACTTGAATCCAAGTTGAAATATACTACGGTAACCTTTGGCATCCTTTCTAAGGTAGGCTATGTTGATCTCTCTCTCTCTCTCTCTCTCTCTCTCTCTCTCTCTCTCTCTCTCTGAGGTTGGCCTAGATGAACCATTGCACCATCTCTCGGAGCTATTTCAAATGAATGATTCTTAATTCATATGTAATTCAGTAGCCTAAGTTTTATACAAATAATATTCAGTCTGGTTGAAATAAACAATTTGATAGCAGGAATTAAAGGCCTGTCCCACATAGACAGAGAGGCTATTAATAAATATATGGTAATCACTACTCGTTGGAATTCTATCTAGTTATTTTATCACTGAAGTCAACGGTTTACTTGGAACAATAAATAAAGAACATGATGAAAATCTTCTGTATGATCATCAAACTCCACACCCTTCAAACTAAATAAGCACTGCGTGACTCCACCCTTTGCCCTTTCCGGTATCTTTGGTGCACTTTTGCCAGAGCAGTGAGTATTCTAAACAATACTTAGTCATATACAGATCACAGAGATTGTCACCACCACTAAGTCAAATAAGCAGACTGTCAAGTGCCAAAGGATGTTGTTATGGATTAACTTTTCTTTTTCTTTTTTCTTTTTTTTTTTTTACAATGTAGTGATATTGTTGTTTGAAGGGAGCATCATCAACAAGGGAACAGCAAAGAAGACACTGTTGCACTGAAATGACATGGCAGCCGCAGACCACAGAGATTGTGACTGATTTGTATTCCTTTGATCATTGTTCTTTTCTCATATTTCTGATGGGACTGGTAGTTTAGTTTTCGTGGCTTTATTTCTGTTTGTTTAGTTAGGGATTGGTTTAGGGTAGAGGGGGAGCCTCCAGATCCTCCGGCCCTTTGTGGGCTGGTCTGGAGGGCTTCCCTTTCTTTTGTTTGTTTTGGCCAGCCCATTAGATTTGTTGTTTTGTTTGAATTAAATTTTATTTCATGTTTATTTCAATAAACTTATGTTTTTCTTGCATAACTCCTGGACTCTTTGATTATGTTCGACCTCCATTGTAACGAGCTTTGGTGGGGGTCAGGAAATGTCTCCAGAATGCAGGAAATTAAGTGTTTAATGCTAAAAATCTTCCCCAATCAAATATTTTATTTATAAATATTTTTCCAAATACTAGGTCTATTAAAATATATTCTTGTCTTGTACTCATGGACGCCAGTCTTGTGCAAATGTTCCGTCTCAATGTTTCATCACACCCCTAATCTGACTCCCTAAATGGATCAATGGTGTATTGGTGAAAGGTGTCCGACCAATTTTACACAGACTAGAATATGAGTGAAGAATAATCAAATTTTAATAAAGTTATTATAATTACAAAATATCATGATTAAAAGCTCAATTCACACACTTTTGCCAATGCATGTCAGGCCTACTGCGCCAAAACGTCCAAAACAGCACTGAATCAATGGCGCTTTCTGTTATTCATTTGAATCTATTCTTAAGCCACATATTCTCAGTAGACAGATGCCTGCTCACCCATGAATAGCTCCTGACATCCCTGACATGATCTCTGTCCTCGGGGGGCTCAGCTTTTACAACGCACT